TCAAAACAAAAACAAAAAAAGGAATGGCGACCCGTCCTTCGGGACATCCGTTAAGACGATTGGAACGATACAGAGAAGATTAATGAGCATGGCCCTTGCCCAAGGATGACAATCATGACATACATAAATCGAGAAATGGTCTAGATTAAAAAAAAAATATAGTAAAAAGGGAGAGTTCCGTCTTTCTATTATTTCAGAAAAGACTAAACCTGCATTGAGCCGACGTTGGTCCGCAAGCTTTTAGTAATCTGTAGTTCGGGTAACACTCGGTGTGTATGGTAGGGTTATTGCAGTCTGTATGAGAGGGTTCTTGCAGGCCAGATTCAGTCATGATGAGGGTCATGATTTCTCAAAACGTTCTCTTCTTATTACTTCTGAAGTAGAAAACGACGGAACTGAAAACAGAAAAATTGTGGCAAATTTTTTGCCTTGATGAACATATGTGGACACCATATTTCAACCGTTGGAACTATGTTTATGAACTATTTGGAGGGGGGGGGGTCATGTGTTCTACCAAAAGTCAAGGAAACCAACGCTCACCAAATATTGGAAAAACTGAAACTGGTGTGTTCATCTGTTGGTCCAACTGTTGAAATGATGTTGGTCCAACTGTTGAACAATTGTTGAAAATTTGTTGAAAAGTTGTTGAAGAGTTGTTGAGAGCTTGTTGAAACGTCTTGAACTTTGTTGAACTGTGTTGAAAGCTTGTTGAAACGTGCTGAAAACGTTTCACCTTTCCTGTATGGTCCGCGTTTTGTACGGGGGGGGGAAATTCGTTTCGCAGTGCTCATATCGTGGATTTTCGTGGTTTGTTCCCGTCCTTTTCTCCTGTTGGACGATTCACTGTGCAATTTCGCAAATGTCATGTGTTGGGTCTTCTGGCGGACCTCGCATGCAACAAAAGCAATGACTGAAATGAGAGAGAGAGAGAGAGAGAGAGAGAGAGGTTCACTACTGTGTGACACGAAATTACCCACATGGCTGTGTTTGAGAGAAAGTGTCACGCAGTAGTGAACCTCTCTTTGCTGTTGGTGCCAGATGGCAGTATTTCATTCTGGTGATATCTGTGTAAGGGAACGTGGATTACATGCTGAGCTGCCAGACTAGAAGCTTGGTTCACTACTGTGGGCATAAAAATTACCGATATGGCTGTGTTTGAGAGAGAGTGGCACGCAGTAGCCAACCTTTCTTTTGAGTCCACAGGATTGTTGTTGCTTCATTCTATATGTAGCCACACGTGTGGAAGCCTCAGTTAAATCGTGACCTTCCCTGCAACAAACACGGTTCACCACTGCGTGACACAATTCTAGCAACATGTGAGCATGAGAGAGATAGTGGCATGCACAACCCAACCTTGCATTGAGGACAACCACGGTTGCTGTTTTTTTTTCATAACATAGTCGCTCAAGGACCAAATACACAAAGATGACCATTAGAAGGCATTGTACATTTGTGTGTCATAAATAACAGACCATGTCTTGTTAAGTGACTGTTCGAAGCACACAGTTCAGTGTCTTCATCTCCCCGCCTCTCTCTCTCTCTCTCTCTCTCTCTCTCTCTCTCTCTCTCTGAACTCTCTCCGAACTCTCTCCGAACTATCCTGCTCTCTCTCACAAGCATGCAATGACTGCGACGTTGGGTAATGAACCTTCTGATTCAAAGATTCCAAAATCAACCTCTGATGCACACTACTACGGCACCCGCCCCCTGCTGTTCAAGGTCTGGCGCACATACCTTCTGTATCCCTCTCCTCGTCTGTGCTTCTCTCACGCTGAGGTGCAATGAACTCGAGGTCGAAATCATCATCCGTTATTGTGGTGGTAGGAGGCCCACTCCTGTGGACAAACGGCACACCAGCTCGAAACAGCGCAGCAGCCTTCTCAGCTACGGATACGACACGATCCAGCTTGAAGATCGAAAAACTCATGATTGTATCGCGGCTACGAAGAGATGATACGATGTCTTGCTTTATAGAAACCAATTTTTCAATCTGCTCCGCTGCTTTGGTGGTCTTTGTTATCTGCTCCTTTTCGCATTGCATACCCATCTCCGCAAAAGCTAATTCCTGCAGTGTCACTCCAAGGTTGACGCCGTCCCTCCTCATCTGAAAAACCTTGGTGAGTGTCGTCTTGAAGGCAGGGGCGGCCCAAGGATCATCGCCGCTCCGTCTCCACGTTTTATTTTCCTTCATCTCTGCTCGCATCTTGTTGCGAGTGGGGAGCTGGTGATCTGTTTGCTGCGACCGCACAAGCGGGATCCCTTTTTCAGCCCAAAACCAATGTTTCAGTTGCCATGTTATTTCCCCATGCACGATCGTCATCATTCTGTCGCACTCCCCTATAACTGCTCGAATCCCGCAGGACGCTACGTGTGAGCGCAGTCCTTCCTCCACAATCTCCCCGACCAGTTTGGTCGTGGTTTGCAGCGATGTGAAAAATGCATCCTCTGTAGGGTACAGAGTTGCGTCCTTTGCTGCGGAGAACGCAAAGGCTTTCGCGACCGAGCGGAATAGCCTGCCCCTCATTCTCTTTGTGAATGCACCAGACTCTTCATTCACTTGATGTTGTCCTCCACTATTCGCGCACACTTTTGCTTGCGAGTTCGTGTCATCTGCTGGGAGACAAACATCACAACGCACATAACAAAATTTTAGAACTCAGCAGTCCAGATACATTTTAGCACTAGCGACATTCGGCGGTCCATTTCAACCGCATGTTCATCAAAGTCAAATCCTTGCTTCAGCAATGTGCCTGAACTTTGCGAGTCCGAATGTAATCGTTTTGCAAGGGCGGCAACTTCAGCACACTTTGTTTACCTTTTCCAGCAGTATTAGCGTGCCTCACTATTTGTATGTCAATAGAAGGCGTGTCGGCAGCGATGCCCTCGTGCGTTGTGTTCCTCCCAGGGACCCTCGTGCGTTGTGTTCCGGATGGGGACGGGGAACTCGCTCTTCTAGATGCGCTTCTGTCGTCTTGGGCTGACCCATCGTCACTCTCTTCGTGCGCGGTGTCGTCGTCACTCCCGCCGTCGTTGTCGTCAGCCTCGTCAGTGTCGCGAGGATGTCCGTGGGAGGTCTCACTGTCGTCGACCTCGTCCCTTGATGCGTTGTCATCCTCCCTGTCGGACTTTTCCGGTGAGGGGTGGCCGTGTTCCTCCTCTGCTTCCTCTCGGGCTCCGCTGTGCATATTGTCCGACCCTCTCAGATCAATCGTGTCCACCCTTGTGTCCTTTCTGTAGGAGATTCTCTTCTTTGTGGTGCGGTGCACCTTTGTGATTTGATCTTCCCGCGACCTCTTCTCGGGGGCCCTGGGCGAACGGTTCTCGGCATCGCTGGCACGGCTCCGTGAGGCGGGAGTCGAACGAGGGGACTCATTGCGTTCTTTCAGCTTTGAAAGAAAAAAGGCTGACTTGATGGGACTGAAACTTTTGATCCGTGCTCTCGCCTGCTGGTGCGTTCCGTTTTCACATTCTCAAATCTGCTTCTGCAAAGCTCTTTCGAATCTTTTTTCTTTTCGGCCTTGGATTTCTTCCTCTCCTTGTCCTTCTTTCCCGCGGCCTTCAAAGACCTGCACAGATCCTGGTATGTTGGCCTTGGAGCCATTGCCCTGTTTTCCCCACATACATGAAAGTGGAAAAAGAACAACAACTGCGTCAGCAATGTTGTGTGTCGATCCATGCCTCTCTAAAGTGTCGGGGGGCCGCATTGAGAGAGAGAGAGAGAGAGAGAGAGAGAGAGAGAGAG